GGGTGGTGATTTTTACATCTCCTGCTCAATGAAACTGTAGGTGGGAGCCTCTTCTATGGAACAGATATAAATGGAGCCCTTCTGGTTGAGCCGAGAGTAGGGGGACTTGGAGACTCTGCCATATGTCACCTCTTAGATAGCCCTTTGAAATTTAGAGCTCCACAGAGAAAAAGGGAGAAAACCAAGAAAGACCCACCCAGCCCTTGTAACTCAGAACTCAGCCATGCCCAGAAGCATGCAGATCAGATGCAATCAGCAAAGAAAAATGACTCATATCAAATTAAGATCCTGCTCATGTTTAACTCAACTTATCTCTGACATATCTGATTGTATTCACTCCAAAAACAGCAATATAGAAACATTACAAGTCATAGTTGCCTAGGACAAAAATCCCTTTTTAACTCAATCTTGTCCACATTTAATTTGCAACAACTTCCTTTGCAAATTGTTAGTCCCAGAACAGCATAAATGTTCCCTTTCCTTAAGTCCAGTGGACCTCTTGTTTTCCCTTTGTTCTTTTCTATACTCCGTAAATCAACTTGATTTGTTTTCAGAGACTTCTGTCCCTTTTAGGTGACCGCAGGGCACAATGGACTACATTTTCCAGAATATTCCCAGGCTTAGTCCCATTCCCACCATGAACCACATCTTCCCATCCCTAAAATTCATGTTCCCAGCAGAAAAGCAATGCCTAGTTCCTACTAGGACAATTTGCTAAAACAGTCCCTTCCATCATGTTCTTCTCTGACAGGAAAGGCTGGGCAGGTCACTGGGGAAGAAAGGCATTACGAAATATTAGGAAAGGAAGTGGTCTGACCTGTGAGCAATGACCACCTTGAAGAAGAGGTATAAAATAACACTTTATTCAAATTATAAGTGCACTGGAGAGTGACTTTTGACTAAAACTTTTTCACTCTCTTATCCCTTTTCTTCATCTTCCTTGCTTTGCTCCTTTGGCATCCAAGATGTCTTCCATCCTCTCCAGTGTTGGCACCTTTGGTCTTTAATCATGGCACAGCTGCCTTGCCTTACTACATGGGTTCACAGCTCACAGCCAGTCTCCTCCATAGGGCTCCAGGCATCCCAGACTCACGTTTCAGAATCCGAGCTCCAGCTCAGGCTCCCCCAAGTGACAGTGTGGGCTGGCCTCCTTCCAGCCCCAGAAGTCCTGCGAAGGCTGAAGGTGGAAGGTTACAGGAAGGGTGGAAATCATGTAGGGAGATGTGATCCTGAGGATTATTACCATATAAAAATCCCTAAAGACTCACTCTGTTTCTCAGTGTGCCCTAATATTCATTGAGCCACATTTTGTCTAGAGCTTCATGTAAGTTAACTTTAAATCATGGAAGAGAGATATCTGTAATCCTATCATACATATATGTAAACTGAGTCTCAGAAAAGCCCATGGACCTACCCCAAGGTTACACAGCTAGCAGGGGGGCAAGCCAGGAGAGCAACACCCATTTGACTGCAAACCCCTCGTTTTCCCCAGTCTACCATGATCACCTTCATAAAGCAAGACACACCTCTCAAGCTGGATCTGCCCATTAACCTTCATCACATCTTGCACATGACCAATCATCTTGGCAAACTTCTTACCGAATGAAGGAGGTGATTTCCAGGACGAGGTCATTCCTTTTCTTTGAAGAGTGCTTGTGTTGTTTCACCAGCCCCTTTAAAAATTGCCTTTGATGTGAGATGATCCCCAGGTTTTGACTTTCAGGAAACAGGCTTATGAGGAGGATTACAGCACCTCGAGGCGGGTGGCTGTGATGGGTGACAACCAGCGCCGGAGCAGGGACAGCCCCGGCTCTCAGAGGGTGTTCCTCCTCCTCCTCCTTTGCTCTTACTCTTTGAAACTAAAGACACCTGGAGCCTTGACATGTTTGCTTTGGCAGCTGGATACTCTTGAAGGATGAGCTAACTCACATCCTCACCTTAGGGCTAGAAGAGATCTTGAAAGTCATCTAGTTCAACCTCCTCCCTTTGCAGAAGAGGAGAGGGAAATTCAGTGGCCTCCCAAGGTCACCACCACATTAGCAGCAGAGCTGGGTCTGTGAGTGCAGTCTGTGGCTCCTAGAGGAGGGCGTCCACCCCATGTCAGCCCACCTCCACACAAAGCATGAGAGAGCTCTTCCAGAGAGTGAAGTCTTTGCTGACAGTCACGCTCTGCCATACAAAGAGCGTGTGCTCTCGAGTCAGACAGAAGCAATTAGACTCAAACACAGTCGGAATCCTGAAGATGCAGCCGCTAGATGTGTGGCTGGAAAGCTTGATCTCTTCATCTGTAACTTCATGACGTTAATGGAAGGATTGAGCGAGACAGCATATTACGGAGTGGTGGTGGTGTCCAGGAAATAGGAGCCCAACCATCCCCCTGCTGTCAGTACTTACAGGCTGTGAACAGCCAAGTTCAAGCCAATCTAAATACACTAATTTCAGATTCAACAACGCATGTCTGTATTACCTTCTGAGAATCAACGTTAAACCATAAAATACATGACGAGTGATGCTCAGATTTTGAAGTGGCCATTATGGAAACTATAATACTAAGGACCAGTTTTTGAGTATCTACTTTGTGTTTATCATGCTAGGCAGTTTTTTATGCATTTTTCTTTCCCCAAAACAATCTTGTAAGGAAGGTATGTTTATCTCTCTGCTATCAGAGGAGAAATTGAATCTCAGAAGATCAAGTAAAAGATTCAAGGACACATGATGTCATCTGTTCCATTTGTGAAATATACACCCGCCAACACTGACTCCTGTCACTGCGGCCCCGGCCCCAGCACACTTAGAGACTTCAAGTTGAATTTTAATGCACAATAAGAATAACAGGAAGGGAGGGAGAAAAGAAACTTAACTACTCCTCAGAAAGTTGAGAAAAGTATAGAAACAGGAAATGAATCACTGTTAGGATTTTTTCCCCCCTTTTTTTATAGGAAACCCAATTTGTCAGATAAGAAATGGTAGAGAAGCATTTAGCTGTCTCCCTCCACCCAACCAAGTCTGAGGAATTGCTTCTAGGAGTGCACATTTGGCTTAAAAGCCTGTGGGCTGACAAAAAAAAAAAGCTATTTAGATTCCAGGAGAAAGCTTTATCACCTATTGTGCTGGCGTGAAAGTAAAATTAAGGGGAGATCCTTGGGGTTCATGTATGTTGACTCCTTATACTCTGAACAAGTAAAAGGCAGTTGAAAGACTCAAGGAGAGCCCTGGCTTTTCCCCTGCTCCTAAAAGTTAAGCTCCAGGGTCCACCCAGGAACCTAGGGATGGCTGTGCTCAGTATTTGCACAAAGAACATTTTTAAAGAGTTTTGAACATGGCAGTGCTAGTTTATAACAGTTAAACCTGAGCTCAGCCTTCTCTCTACCAATTAACTAGTGGAATGATCTGCTATACAAGCCACTTCAGAGCTCAGTTTTCTTGTCTGTTACATGAGGGCTATAAGGCTCACCCATTGATACTGTTGTTGGAATTGGAAAGTGGCGTCCATTGGGGTCCTCACAGGAACATAGGATGCAAGTGTTATTCTATTATTATCATAATTTTCTTCCTCTTCCTTTGTCCTGAAATACCTTTACCACAAAATACCCTTTTAGGAAGTTTTTCAAGATACCATCTGTTATAGACTGAATGTCCCCAAATTCAAATGTTAAAGGTCCCACCCTCAATGTGACTATATTTGGAAATAAGGTATTTATGGAGGTAATTAAGGTTCAGTGAGGTTGTAAGGATGGGGCCCTGATCTGATAAGATTAGTGTCCTTATAAGAGGAGACACCTGAGAGCTTGTTCACACTCTTTCTACCAGGTGAGGACACAGCAAGGAGGTGGCCACCTACAAGCCCATGAAGAGGGTCCTCACCAGGAACTGAATCAGCCAGCACCTTGATCTTGGACTTCCGGCCTCCAGAACTGTAAGAGATAACTTTCTGTTGTATAAGTTATGCAGTCTGCAGTGTTCTGTCACGGCGGCCCGAGCAGACAGATACACCTTCCCCCACAGCCTCAGCATAGACGTGTCCCTAATGGTGTTCCTCCGCTTCTGAACTCCACAGCACGTTTTGCTTCTGTTCCATGATATTAACAGTTTCTAACTGATATTAAAAGGATTTGGCTGCATATCTTATCTCCTAACAGCAGGTGAAGTCACCTCAGGGTCACCAGCCTATAGCACAGAAGTGGACATTCCCAGCAAATGCCTAGTCAGTGAATACTGGACACATCAATGAGCTCACTAATGTATGTTGCTCCCGAAGGTTAATATTTGTTTGCTTTAGACAGATTGCACTTTATTTGTGTTAATCTCTCTGATTGTACTTAAAGTAACAAAGTAACATGTCAGGTCGGTATTATTTATGCAAAGTCTGTCTCCATCCATGGGGATTAAGGGTAGTGCCATATCTGTTGCCCCATGGGAAGCACCTGGAACTTTGTTCAGGTTAATACATGACTGTGAAAAGACCATCCTGGTGATTTGGTATAAACGCCTGGGGGCTGGACAGATTTCATTTGCTGGAATTACTAGATTGTTTGGGGAGATACAAGAACCTGGCAAAGAAGTGAACACTTTCCGGTGAACTAGGCACAGCTGGAAAATCGAAGGCTGAAACGCTGGGGTTGGGAGTCTTTCCATCAGAAAACGTGGTGTCTTTAAGAATTTCCAAAGTTATGCAGGCAAGAGGAGGCTACCTAAATCTTCAGAAACATTTACTGGCTCCATGGTAGCCTCAGCTCTAGTGGTTTTCACTTTTTAACGGGGATTAGTTAAGGGGTAGAATTTTGGACTCAGTTTGGAGCGTGTAACACCAAGATAGTAGATGAAACACCAGAGGAGAAACAGGGGTAAGCAGTAGGAAGAAAGGCCAGAATTCTCAGATTTATCTGCAGGAGTCTGGACTGTTCCAAGTCATGAGACTGGGTGTTTGAGCCAAATTTACCTGAATTCTGGAGAAATGAGGTGATCCCAGAGGATAACTGGCCCCTGCTCTGACCCAGGCCCTTGGCTGGGTGCTGACAATTCAGGGATAAGACGCCATCCCCAGCCTTCCTGTGAAGACGCTTCCCAGACAGATCAGGCAGGTGGTGTCACTGCTTGTAGACTGCCGTTCATCTGAACGTGAGCTCCCCAGGGGCGCGTGTAACCACAGCGCGGGCCAGAAAGTGGATCAGAGACCGAGGAGAAGAGCTCAGAGCAGGAGGACGGTACTGTCTCCACTGTCTTCACAAAAACCTGGGCGGCACTTAGAACACTGTCACTGGCTCTACTGCAGAGGTGAGCAAACAAAGGCCCAGGGCATGGAACTGAGCTGCCCCCAGCCACACGCCTTCATGGTGGCAACATGCGGACCAGAAGCCACATCTTTGACTTTCAGGCAGTAGGCTCTGGGGGAGACAGCGCAGATACAGGGGATTCTGTTACCAGCGTCACCACTAAGTCACTCCTTTCAAATCCTGAGATCACATGGAACTGAGAGGTGAAGGAAGTACACTGACGGAACGTCTTCCAGATGTCCGAGGGGGGTCCATTCCTCATCCTTGTTCTGAGTGACACAGCACAACCACAGGTACACTCACGGACGCATAAACACCATCCCGTTGCTAATGCAGCTTGTTTTTTCCTCTTTCCTTTAACTCTGCCCCTTCGTGCCTCTCACCTCATGTTATTCCTCCCATACTTTCCTCCATTTTCATACATATTCATTTACTCAACTCATGTAGTTGCCCAATTTACATACATTTACAGGCACCGATTGTGTACCAAGTATTATGCTAATGCAGAGGATGCAGGGATGGATAAAAGAAGACACAAACTGACAACAACAAAAACAAAGCCCCACGAAGATTCCACACCTCATGCAACTTCTATATTCTGATGGGAGGAGGTCGACAATAAACACAGAAGTCGGTGAACAGTGTGTCCAAAGACACGTGGTGGGAGGACTAATAAAGCGGAGCAGTGGGGTGGGAACACTCGGGCGGAGTGGGAAGGGGTGGAGAGGCCTGGTGTGCAGTTCTAAGTCGGGTGGCCTGTGAACAGGTACACACGTGCATTTGGAACACATGGCACCGTTTTGCAAAGACTGGATAATACTATGCACACTCACTCTACTCCTGTCCTTCTCCAGTCAATAATACTTTGTGGAAATCCCTGCCAAGTCAATCCATTCCGTTCTCACTCCTTTGAATGGCTGGATACTATTCTAAAGTATGACTGTATCAAACATCATCCATTCAGTATCGATGCGCAGCCTTGCATGATCTCATTTCATCCTTACAAAAGTCCAGGGTGATGGAGGAGAAAGCAGTGGGGCTTTCGTGGTCAATGTTCACATTTTCTTAGAACACTAATCAGTGTTTTTAATACAACCACACTGTTGACGAGACTCACGGTAATGGAAAAAGGGGTCTCTCTGCCTTTTGTTTCCCTTAATGTGTTCCCACCTCCTTTTCACCCCCTAGGCTTGAGGCTTGCTTTGGTCTTTGCTCTTGAGTGGAGTTCTTGGATGGACTAGAAGCAGTAAGAATCCAGAATCAAGTCAAACAAGTAACAACATCAGAAAAGATCTTGGAAGGTAGCTGGCCCAGCCCCCTCCATTTCTAAGTGGGCAACCAGAGACCTAGAAATAAGAAAGGATGCCCTAAGGTCACACAGGCAATTTGTAACAAACTCAAAAGAATACACTCGAGTCCCAAATTCCAATCTAGCACTCTGTCCCCTGCACTCTCCTACTCAGTGTGGTCCACAGACCACTGACACCAGCATCAGCTGGGAGTTTGTAAGAAATTTAGAATCCCTGTCCTTACCCTGGATCTAGTGATCAGACAAGATCCCCAGGTGATACACACAGACACTACAGCAGGAGAACTCCCAGAGGAAAGAGGAGAGCAGGTGGCACACGCTTACCCGGAAGGTGAGCCAGGAGTGTGCGTGTGCGCGTGTGCGTGCGCAGGTGTGGAGCACAGAGGCACGATGGAGGAATCTCAGGTTGGCGTTGCCTGAGAAGACAGAAGGATGCAAGAACAGTAACTCGCTTTGCCTCTTCCCTCTTTTTCAAAAAGCAAAATTTCTAAAGCCAAGAGGCCTAAGCATCCCAGGCAGATCTCTGGGATGAGGTTTAAATATGAGCAGGAGATCAGGCACATTCGTACATGCTCTTAACCGAATCACAGGCCCATGGGAGCAGGGAAGAAAGGAAAGAAAGGAAAGGAATGAAAAAAGGAACAACTTACATTTCTGCTTAATTAAACTGTCCTTTAGGCATTTGCTCTTGGCGTATTCACGTGGACAAGGGGTTGTAAGAAAACGCAGAGAGGGAGGCAGGTCTATTTTTTCAGAATAAATGTAGCATATTTCCTGAAGAAAATGAGTTCCTAGTTTTCTCAGAAGGAAGACACTCCATTGTTGGGAAGCAAAAATGAACACATTTTTCTACTTTTTCAAATGGCCTGTCATTTCCTTTACAGTGGTAAACGTCCCCAGGGAGATTTTTCACCCCAGAGATAAAAACCTGTATTCTCTCTACGTGATAAAAACTCACTCAATCTTCATGATCTGTGTCCTGCAGCAAAGTACACTCCTAAAAAGCTCTCCATTAACCCTAACTGGATGAGTTGTGTGTAGCTAAAAGTATCTCCTCAAATCTCCTCTTAACAAAAGTTATTTTTAGCAAACTTGTACTAAATTATAACTCTCGTGTCTTTTAAGCATTCCTTTTGGGCTCCCATAGGAATGTAGGCCGAAAAACTGTTAGCAGGGGGAAAAAAAAAGCAAAACAAAACAAAAAACAGAGAACAAGCAACAAAAATTAAAATATATACACATATATATATATTTTTTAATTTGGATTTACTTGTTTACCTACTTTATGCCAGCTATTTTAGGTTTAATCCAAAAAAAAATTCTCATAGAAGTTCTTATACTGATTTTGGAAATGAAGAATTCATGCTGGAAGAGGTCAATTAACTTGACGTACAAGAATAAGCTAGAACTAAAATGAAGAGCTGTTTCTGCACGAGGCTCAGGGTCTCCCCACCTCACCCCGCCACTGGGACCAAGCGAAGCATCTTGGAAGCAGCCCACGTTCACGCTGGTCCTGGGCACCTGACTTCCGCCAGCAACTGTGGAAAACAATCAAGGAAATGAAATCCCCCTGGGAGGCAGCAGACACTCAGGGGAGGGAACATGGGCGGTTTCCTGGATGGGCCCCTTGGGGTTCTGGGAAACCATGACCACAAATCAGAGGGCCTGCCCAGCATTGTGTAACTTCAGTTCAGAAAAAGAAAGCTCTCCTCTCTCCAGCAGGCCTCCAGCCGGCCTCTCATGACAAACCACTTTCCTGGACGCTTACTTCTTGAGCTCAAGTTGCAAGGAAGAAACGAAGTTGGAGATTCCAGCTGGCTGGAGGCAGGGATGGCCAGCAAGTTTTGGATAAAGCAGTCCTATTTCTTCTCTTTCGCATCAGTTTGAACTAGACAAAAAGGCTCATCTTGCCAGAGATGACTCGCTAGTCTGAGCTGGCCCTTTGGAAAAGCCCTCTCAGACAGCAGCTGTAAATCACGCGACAACCTCTCTCTGTAAGTCCCGCGGCAGCCAAGATGCGAAGAGTGATTTATCAGGCTGCTTCCAACAAGCTCAGTTTTTGAAGGCAGGCAAAAGATGCCAAAAGGCTTTAAAAGCTGAACGAGGATTTCCCCAAAGAGGGAAGCGGAAGACACTTCTTGGAGGAAGGGACCCAACCAACGACTGGACCATCTGGGTCCTCCAGGGAGTGGGGGTTGTAGGCAAGCTTTCTGCACCCCCTCCTGTTTCTGTATTCAGAAATGGAAATCATGGAGAGAGAGATCCAATCAGTAGACAAGAATGCATCCTCCCTCTCCTCTCCCTGACCAAGCCCTCCAAACCCCACCCCCCCGGCCAAACATGCTTCCTTAGACAGGAAACTTTAAATTGCTGGGATGGGCCACCCTAATTGCTACTCTTTTAATAACTCGGTTCACTCCTTGAAGTCTCTGTAAACATCTCGGAAGTGGTGTAACATGGCAAGGAAGGGAAGGAACGTGACTCACCTCTCCTGCAGGGGGCTGGCTTCTGAGGAACCAGAGAAGAGCTAGTTCATCAAGCCCCCTCCCCCCTTGGCCCACCTCTCCACAGTCTCGCGAGAGTTCCCAGAAACCGCGCTCACAGGTGTCTACCTGGTTTCCCCCACTGCCTCCGCCTAGAAGACTGTTTGTTGCCCACGCTCTCTGTCTGCACTAGCAGAGAGCTGTGACCACAGCCCGGCATTCGACCTTTTCCTTCACATCCTAATCCTGCAAAGGACCTGTAGGCATTTGGTAAATAAGACTGCTGAGAGAACCCAGGACGACTCAGGAAGGCAGTATCAGAGCGAAGACGCCAGCACCAGCCTCCTGCTTGCCCAGCCGGCTCTCTGCTGTTTCAGAGAGCCCTGGGCCTTCCCTGGACAGTCATCAGCTTTGAGATCTGGGACTTTCGGAGCCAGCCTTTTTCTGCAACATCACAGACGGTTTTTATATCTTTCTTAGCATCTCCATATGGAGTAAACAAGTGGAAAGTATTATTTGAAAACCAACAGAGTAAAAAGGGGATTGGGAAATACACATAACTTCATCTGGGCACATCAATTTCTTTCAACTTTTTTCCTTTTTGTACAATCGCTTTAATTTATGGTGGTTTGGGAAGTCAGATACCTGTGGTTTGCCGGAACCTCAGGTATTTGATTCAAGGGTGAGAGGGTCCAAGAGGTGTTTGCTAGTTGGTGGCAGAAATAAGAAATTTTCTATTTTTTCTGTCATCAAAAAATGAACCGTCTGAATACCCCTCTCCAGAAAGAGACTGGGCTGGGGCAAAGCAGGCCATCTGAGCAACAAAATGAGCAGTTGCAGGGCACAGAGTTCTTTCCTGGCGCTACGCGAGGCACAGAGCGAGAGGGAGAGACGGCTCGGCCCATCTCCAAGTGCAGGATTGGAGTCCAGAGGGATCACTAGCGGTTGTAAATCAGATCACGGAATCAGGTGGGACAGAGTTCGGAAGGAAAGCACACCAGGAACCAGAGAAGGGACGGTCTGTCTGTCCTGGGCTCCGTGGCTTACCTGCAGGTGCCGTCCAGGGCGCATGGGTAAGTCCGCCTTTAGTGGATGAGCTCTCTAATGTGCCAGTGGCAGGGAGATCGACTCAAGAAGGTACCACAAACCTTCTTGTTATGAGGCAAGAAGTGTATTTCAGAAGGCACGGCTAGCATTGTCTTAATATAGAGAATGACTCCTGAGGCTTTTTTAACTCGAGATGTTGGGGCACAGGTTATTCTGGGACCTCAGCTACAAGTGGGTGCTAAGGAGAGGGAAGGAAGGATTAGAAACCCCAAATGGAGTAGGATGAGGAGCGAGGAGCCTGAGAGGGCCACGACAGGCAGCCCCAGGGGTCTGTGGGGGAAGTCCAGTGCCCAGGTAACCAAAGATGTGGTTAGAAAGATGTGAGTGCTAGGTGGGTGGAGGGGTTGATGGTGAGACGGGCCATATCTAGAACGCAGGCCATGGCCAGAGGCTGGTGGGGCCTGGAGGGTTAAAAAAAAATCTAGTGTTTAGGTAATGATTAAGGCTTGGGACTTGGCAGGTAGGCAGGCCCAGGTTGGAATTTTGTCCTTATCATTTATGAGCCTGGTGATCTCGGGCAAGTAATTGAAACCCTCTTAAGTCACAGTTTTCTCATCGGGAAAGATCATTCTTTCTGTCTCATAGGGTTGGTTTAAAGATTGGTCCTGGTGATGTTGGGGATGGAGATATTGGTGACAAAGTGATAGAAGCGGGAAGAGGAAGAAGAGGAGGAAGGTGGACGGTGATGGTGGTGGTGACATGTGTCGTTGAAGCTGCCTGATGCCAAGGTGCATCCTGGGTACAGAAACAGCACAGACAAAATCAGCCTGTTTCATTTGCACAAACTCCCACCCTCACCCCCAGAGTTGGACTTCTAAAACCTTTTCTGTTGTAGCTCAGAATTGGCTGAGGATCTCAGTACAATAAAGAATGGTTCCAGCTGGAAGAATCTGGGGCCACGTAGGGGTTGACAGTGTTTATCATGTAGACATTTTACTGATAAAATTAAAAAGCACAATCAGGTGTGAGCAACCATCATAGAATTTCCAGGACATCTATGCGCTGGTGTGATGTTATAAGAACACATTGACAAAACAGAAGTCTTACTGCAAGTGTTCAGCGCTAACCATATTCAAGCAGCATGCTGTCACATTTTATTATATCTTTTAAAATACTGTGTCTCTGTTTTAAGCCTTTATTTGATAGTTTTCATGGGAGGTATGTTTTCTGGAAGGAAAACTCTGGAATTTGAACAGAGTAGTTTTAACATCTTAATAGGAATCCTAGCATCTAGGTTAATTACGCTGTGATGATATAAAAACCACCCTGCATTTCTCTAATGCACAGCTTTATAGAAGGCACGGGAGAAAGAGTTTTATTACCAAAATGAGGAAAAGGTCTTGCTTTCATCTGTACCTGGGAGAGTTCCTGGCACACAGTGCAGAGAGTATAGGAAACAGGAAAAAGGAGTAGGAGGCAGACAGACCAGAATTTCAACCCTGACCTATCGACTCACTAACACAGCACTTAGAGCCAGGTGATTAACCTCTCTGATCGTGGCTGTCATTTTAAAAATAAGACCATGAGGCTTCATAAAAATTTGTGAGATGTGAGTTAATTTCCTCCAAATGCCTACCGTTGAGCCTGGCGTGTTGCATATACTCAGCTAGCGGGTCATCGCTCCGTGTGAATTTTTTGAGTGAACTAGACATATCTTCTAGATAATTAATGCTGACCTCGTTAAGCTCCCGAAAAAGGTTTTCATGAGAATTTTAATTCAATTTAAACCAGCCTCTAAGTGCCGTTGCATATTCTGCTGTCTTCTTAAATAACGTAACTTTTCTTATGGTGCAAGGTCATCTTGGAAAATAATAAATACTTATTGAAGGGCTTTCTATAAATATAAATGCTGTCAGGTTCTGTACACATTTATGTTTGGTGACCCCGTAATTTTTCAGCTGCCCCATTACATTTTTTATATCCACAGAAAAAGTTCTTATTTAACAGGAAGAGAGGAAGTACAATGGATTAGTGGAAAATTAGACCAGGAGTTGGGGCTGTTGGTGTCGGTTGCCAGCCATTTTCATGGGCAGCTGTGTCAGTGGGGACTGGTGACCTTACCACTCTGGATTTCGCCTTTCTCTTTTAAAATGTGTGTTTATTTTTTATTTATTTAAAAAATGTTAAAAAAATCTATAAGAGCGCTTTCTATTCTTCTGTTTTGTTTAAATGAATCACTTTTCTCTCTGAAAGCATTTTGCTGGCCACTCCGAGAAGTTCAGAGCCAGTAGCATCTCAAAGGAGACCGAACAGAAGGCCTGCTTTCCCTTGTGAGCAGTTGTGGGAAGTGCAGTTGTCGGGATGTGATGTGGGTCTTTGCGGAGGAAAAATAGGTACATAGTCGTTTGGTTGTTTGTTTCTCAAAAAGATCTACCAGCTTGTTGTGTGTTAAAGAGGAGAGTCCTTTCCACTTAGTCTGTCGTCTACAAGATCCCCTCCACGCAAGACCCCCACAGAGACTTTTTATCAGCATCTTCTTTTATGGGAAATGGACTGAGACCCTTTTCCTCAAACACCAAGTCGGTCAGAAGATTGGAATGGAAAACAAGGACGAAAGTGTAAATAAAAACAAAACAAAACAAAAAGGACTAGAGGGACAAAAAAAAAATACAGAAAGACAAAGCGACAGAAAAACAGAGACAGAAAGGGAGAAAAGAGAATGAGAAAGAAAGACAGACAGAAAGAACGAACGACAGAAAGAAACCCAGAGCACAAGCTAAAAGAGACCTTGACTGTTTTCACATTAAGCATATCTTTTTCCCATAATCACAGTTACTTCACATCCTCCCCAAATTGGCATGTTTCTCTTGGGAAGATAAACCCTCTTTGGCAAGCTCCCCACATGTGAGTCGAAGCAGGAAGGCCGAGTCATCCCTGTATTATGCAATCCTGTGTCCGGCCAATAATTGCCTATCTGACATGCTAGCCTCCCACATTCCAGGGATTCATCTGGAACAGCCAGGAGATTAGATGAGTGTGTATTTTCAGCTGGCCACCCTCACTCTTAGCTGGTGTGTCCCCTTCTGTCAGCAGAGGCACTCCTGTCTGTCACTGTCCTCCCAGAGATGTCTGTCCCTAGGGCAACACGTTCTTTCTGTGGAAAGAAGGAGGGACAGAGCTCCAGAGATCTATGTAATCCCAAGCCCTTATTGCCGACAAGTGTCGTGCGGTGGAACTCCACATAGCAACCGAAAACAGTAAGAAAAATTCAGGCAAACAAATCATTTTTCCACCTTCAGCATATATGCACAGTATTATGAAACACAGAGAACACAAGTGAGGGTTTAGGAAAATGGAGATCCAGCCTTCTGACTGCCACCTGTCAGCTGTGTGATTAGAGAAGGTCACTCACTTTTCTAAGCCTCAGTCTCTTCATCTTAAAATTAGGCACGCCAGTGACAACTTCATCAGGTTATTG